CTGGTTCAGGTCATGATCCCAGGATCCTGGGAGCAGGTACTGCATTGGGCTCCTTGCTCAGCAGGGAACCTAGTGCTCCCCCTGCTTGTGCACGCTCACTCTCTCCCCTTCTCTGTCTGACAAATTAATCTTCAAAAAATTAAAATACAAAAAAAAATTTTTTTTAATTAAAAATAAATCCCTCCTGTCGTAAAAGGAAGTCGAAAATGATGATCAAAAAATAGCAATACAGGGGCGCCTGGGTGGCTCAGTGGGTTAAAGCCTCTGCCTTCGGCTCGGGTCATGGTCCCGGGGTCCTGGGATCGAGCCCCGCATCGGGCTCTCTGCTTGGCAGGGAGCCTGCTTCCTCCTCTCTCTCTGCCTGCCTCTCTGCCTACTTGTGATCTCTGTCTGTCAAATAAATAAAATATTTAAAAAAAAAAATAGCAATACAGCCATATTAATAATTATTAATCATTCCTCTATGAATCATAGAAGTATCAAAAGAAAGAGATAAAAATATTAAAAATGGTTACCTTTGGGGAACAAGGCCTGCCACTTATTTTATAAACCTTATGGTCTTGATTTTTTAAAAGTTATTTTCATGTAATTTTTTTCATTATAATAGCAGTATTTTACAAAAAAAAAAAAGGCATGGGGGTATTAGTATGCTTATAAAATTATTAAGAAAACACATTAAAATAGGTGGTTTGAATGTTGCTTAATTACCAGGTACTATCATGGACCCTTTGAGAAATACCAGAGGAAAAAAGATAGGATATCCCTGAGTCTCATGAAAGGAATAAGACTGATATGATAAGAAATGCTTCATACATGCTAGGAGAGATGCATAGTACTAAGGAAAGCACTTTATATGGTAGATGATTTAATGACCATGGGCCCAGACTCTTGGTGAAGTGTGAAGATGCTATGGTTTATCAGAATTTCCTACAGAGAATAAAGATGAAAAGTGCATGCTGCCCTACCTGGAAATCAAAGGCAGTGACAAAGGTCTCAAGTAGGAATTAGGAGTTAGTTAAAATGATAGGATGACCTTATCTGCACTATCCCTGATTTACTCAGATATAGAAACAGCCCTGAGGAAATATGGGACAAATTTTATTAAATATTTTAAGTGGAAAGGACACGGGCATCAGATTGAAACCCCAGGAATACCACATCCAAGTTGTCTGAGTTTGGACAAGTTTTTGGACTTTTGTGGGCCACAGTGTCCTCATCTTAAAGAGAACATGGATGTGAGCAATGGTACCTGCCCTACGGGGTTGTTCTGAGGTGTACATATGTACATATGTACATTAACATATGTAAGACACCCAGTGGTACCTGATATCCCCAGTGAGTAGTTTATTTCCCCTTTCTTTCCTTTCTCCAAAATATCCAGGAGAGAAGACTGAGCAGAGTCAAGATATTTTTAGGAATTTAAAAGGCACAGGGCATATAGAAATTACTCAGGAAATGTATGTTAAATGATGAATAATTAGTGTTTTAGGAAATTCTCAATTACTTTCTTTCCATAAAACGTTTAAAATTAAAACACTTTCTGTTCCTGGTCTAAAACAGTGTATTCTGGTGTAGTTTGACAGTCAAAATACTTGATATAAACAAACCTTTTTTTTTTTCCAGCTTGAAAATAAAGAACTTCGAGAATTATTGTCCATCAGCAGTGAGTCTCTTCAGGTCAGGAAGGAAAACTCAATGGACACTGCTTCCCAAGCCATCAAATAACTTCTGAATGACAGCTGGAGATTGTTTATCAAGGAAGGAAATTATCTTTCTATTTGAGTATTGTCCATTTAGTGTCTTGCCTCAGACTTGATTTAGTGTTGATTAAAGGTATCAGGTGGCAGCTTAGAATTTGCAGTCAAATTGGCTGTCCACAAAATGGTTTTTGGGTGTGTTCGTGAAATACACACTGAGTTTCACCATTCCTTTCTCTAAGAGACTTACTTTTACTTTTCGGTTCTGGGACCTCAATTTATTATCGGTTCCTTTTTGTTTCTTCACATCTCTCAGAGCCTTTTATTACAAGCCAGCAATCTTTATTTTGTATAAGATTATAAATTACAATTCTAAAAAATTTTTAAGAAATTAGCTTTTTAAATTACTTGGCACAAATCTAGATTTTTTTTCCCCCATTTGTGAAAAGTAATACAGTTCCACACAACGAGATTGACAGATTGTCTGATTTGTGATGTCACTCACCTCCTGTCAAGTTTTAAGTCTCTCTGGTGCTAAGAGTTGGCACTTTATGACCTGGTGTCTTTACTCTTAATTTGAGAGAACCTACTGCTAGTTCCCAAGAAGCATACTTGAAAATAGGTAACAGGAGAGTCATCATATTGTTCAAAGAACCTGAGAAGTTTGTCCTTTGTGTGACATACACATGTACTCTTAGTTCAGATGCTGAAGGAGCTGTTATTTATTCTGTTAGATATTAATAGTCAATTTTTCAATATTGTCCTCCTAGGTAATCTTCAACTTGGGTGGTTTACTCAGCTGAAGAGCATAAAATGGGTCTTTTCACATTGTAGTTTTTAGTTACTACATTCTATTTAATTTATATATAAATTTTGTTTCATAGTTAAGAACCATCACTTACATAGATGTCTTTCATTACTAGTACTGATAGTTGGCTTTCTTTTTAGATCCATTTATTATGAGGAAGCTAAATTTTATCACCCAATGAGAGTTACTACATTTGTGCTGTGAGGACAACAAAGCAGTGTTGAGATTCAAATGCTGAGCAGTCAACCAGACTTACTCATCAACTCACTCGCCTATCTCAGTTTAGTTACATGCCAAATTTACAAATTGCTTCATGTTACACTATCAACTCGGGTTTGCCCAAAAATAATTGAAATAATGAATCCCAAACCTGTCCATATTTTCCAGTAGCACTTAGCACCATACTGACAGGAGATACAGTATTTAAGAGTTTTTTGTTAGTACTTTGCGTGATGTAAAATTTCTTTTGTACTGCCATAAAGAATTAACTCCAGTTAAAACAATAAAACCTCACGAAGATATCCTAAAAGCATCTGACCCCACTAATACTGAAAGAACTTGGCCTATTGTGGTGGTCTTTAATGATTAGGTGATTCATTTTAGAAACTCAAATTTCTATTCAAAGTCCTGCATAGAATTTGAAAAATACTTCCACCCCAAATGTAGGCATTTTTATCTTATTTCCCAACAGGAAGTAAAACTTTAGTCCAGCCGTTCGGCTTGAAGTATATGCCCTAAGTGCCACTTTGTGTCCCATGGTTCCATTCAGGAAGCAGGTACCCCTACGTGATATATCAGCTGCCATGGCCAGTTTTCAGTAAAAATGATAAAGTCATCAAATGGCCCATTAAAGTATGAGACAGTGTCTCTTTATCTGCCTTATGTTCCTTTAAAGTTGTTTACATCTTGGATATCAGGATAAATCTATGTTAACTTTTCCCCCTGCCAAATCAAAAGCTTGAAGTTTGAGTGAAAGAGCTCTCAGTGCCCTACAAAATGTAAATTTTGGCTGGTGTTAATACAAATACAGCATTTCTAATAAAAACATTTTAAGAATAATAGTTAAATTTTACTCAGTAATGAGTCTAATTATTAGGAAATACAAAGGTTTCTTTTTTACATATATAGCAACCTGTTAAACAGGGCTTTCATAAGTATTTTGTAATTAGCATAATGTAGTCAGCAGTATAACTCTACAAATAGCTGTTTCTAAAATGGTTTTAGAGATTTCCTCATGATTAAAAATCCAAAATTATACAATTACAAATCATATAAAATTAAAACAGAGTTTGGAAGTACCTTGAAAAATGCTAAAGTAGTACCCATTTTTACCTTAATAATACCTTATTTTGGTGTGCCCCAAAATGGTTTGCTGACTACTGGAACAGAAATTTGGGAATGGGTTCCAGGAATTTGTGCTTTAATAATTGTCCCTGATAACTTCTAAGGACACTATTTTGAAAATCTAGTCTACTATGTACCAGACACTTCATTTGGAGTTATGAATGGAAAAAAGGTAGGGGAAAAACCTTGACACTTTCAGAAGAAAAATTTGGTAGAGAAGACCTATAATTACAGTGCAATGATACATCTAATACGAGGGTGTATAGGACACGGAGGAGAAAGCTCGGTGCTTTCTAGTTATCATATAATCTCCATTTCAACTGTACCTCGTTTTACACATACTCGGGCACAAGGAGGTTATGCTACATATCTAAACAAGATTCCAACCCAGAGAGACTCTAAAACATATTCTTAACCACTAAGTTAAGATGCCTTTAAATGCCAAATACTGGTGGGAATTCAAGTGGTTCTTGATTAGCAAAAACTACTTTTAGTAATAGTGCAAAGGAAACACCATGGCCCATATATTAGGAAATAGGAATTCAATAAATGGAGTCATAATGAGACATATTTGTCATCTCTTTTCTAGAATGATGTAGCTGAGAGCTTGTATGCGTGCAACTGACACGTTTCATCAGTGGTCTTACCTATGTATGGAAAAGTGCAGTTCCGTCTTTCAAATCTGCTTCCTTAGCATGTATGGCTTTTCATCTTTCATGTTCTTGTTGCAAGAAGGTTGGTGCTGTGCCAGGTGTCTTGGCCATATTGAAGGCAGAAAGAAAGAGGGAAACGGCCTATGTCAATGTGTGTATCCTCTTTTATGAAGAAAAGCAAAGCTTTCCCAGAAATTCCAAACAGATTTCCCTGTCTCACTTGCCTGCCTCTTTAAATGGTTACTTCTATCTGCAAAGACTGGGTACATAGTTGCCTCAAATAAAATCAGTATTCTAGGGGCGCCTGGGTGGCTCAGTGGGTTAAAGCCTCTGCCTTCGGCTCAGGTCATGATCCCAGGGTCCTGGGATCGAGCCCCACATCGGGCTCGCTCCGCGCAGGTGGGGCTCCGCGCAGGTGGGGCTCCGCGCAGGTGGGGCTCCGCGCAGGTGGGGCTCCGGAAGGCCGCTCCTTAAAGTAGGTCACCCGCGGCCTGGGCCGCCACTGCGCAGGAGCATAGGGCTACTGCGCAGGCGCATAGGGCTGCTGCCGGGGCGCCTTTGAAACGTACCGGAAGTGACGTTTGTAGCGCTGGGCCGGGTTCGGGGAAGATTCGCGTCGGTGATCAAGGCTGGGCCTGTGGTCCTGGGCCACTATGAGCTGCACCATCGAGAAGATCCTGACAGACGCCAAGACGCTGCTGGAGAGGCTGCGGGAGCACGACGCGGCCGCAGAGTCGCTGGTGGATCAGTCCGCCGCGCTGCACCGGCGGGTGGCCGCTATGCGGGAGGCGGGGACGGCGCTTCCGGACCAGGTCGGGCAAAGGGTAGAGGTCCGTGCCCAAAGGATCTGTGCACCCGAGGGGTGGAGGGCGAAGGAGGGTGGGAACTCGGGTTTAAGTGTATGCCTACTCTCAGAGGGTGGCGGTGAGACCTTTCTGCGGGGTCGGGGTTGAGAATGCTGCCCTGGAGCTCCGATTCCTGCTTCTTCGGTTGCATCCGCGGCTGTTTCCCTGTTAACGGCGCGCTTAGTCTGTCTCTGTTTGTCCAGTATCAGGGAGATGCATCCGATATAAAGGACATGTCCAAATTCAAACCTCACATTCTGCTGTCCCAAGAGAATACACAGATTAGAGACTTGCAGCAGGAAAACAGAGGTTAGTCAGGCCTTTTTGCGTAGTTATGATTTTTCTCATATCCAGTAATATTTCAAAAGTTTTTGCCTAACTATTCACATCCTGAATGTATCTTAAGATTAGAACTTTTAAAAGCGTTATTCTGTGATGATCCCTAACAATAAAGTGTTACGTTACCCGTTTTAAGCTTATCTGACTGATTTTGTATCTGTAGGCAGCTTTTCAAAGGGGTGCTTAGTAGAGTTGAATTATTGCATGGCTTATTTATGTATCCCCTTACGGATATTTGCACAACAACAGTGTTAATATACTCAAGGGCTTGAACTTTTTATGTTTAAATATTAATTGAAATACACACGTTAAGATGGAAGAGATTTTTTAAAAAAGGTTCTTGTGCAAGGTGGAAGAACTGAATTTTAGCTTCAGGGTGTAGATTCTTAGGCTTGATGAGTACATTATTAATGATAGCAGTATGAAGTTATTTGTATATCACTTGACAGAGAACTTTCACGTATATCATCCCATTATATTCTCATATCTTCATTTTGACGTAGATAAGTCTTAGGTACTTAATATGACAATGCAGTTAAGAAATAGGCTCAGAGAGGGTAATGATTTTCATAAAACTGGTAGTAAGCTTGTAACTCACTGAACTGAACTGAAACCCATGTCTTATTGTACATCCCATGTTGTTTCTACCAGACTATGCTGCCTCTGCCTAGAAAGTTATTTTTCTCATAGACCTTAATCGTTGAGTTTTATGGACTTAAACACTGAGTATAACTTTGCATTCACAATATCTCATGGAGTGTCATAAAATTCCAACTGTTAAGAGTTTTGGCTTTGGGAGCTCTCTCTCAGATGTCACTGCCAAGTGATTTTATTTTTTTGATAGAGCTATGGGTTTCCTTGGAGGAACACCAGGATGCTTTGGAACTCATCATGAGCAAGTACCGGAAACAGATGTTACAATTAATGGTTGCTAAAAAGGCCGTGGATGCTGAACCAGTCCTGAAAGCTCACCAGTCTCACTCTGCAGTAAGAAACTTTGATGAATAACTTCTGAATGAATGGGATTAAAATCTTGAATTGTTTTAAATTGATTGCTTGTTTTTGAAGGAAAGTAAGCTTGTTTATCACATTCACTGTTGATTTTGCTGTAGCTTTGGAAGGATATGAATAGAAAGAAGGGAGTAAAGGGCAGCTCAGAAGCTTTTTTCTTTTAGTTGGACTATGCTTCCTCACTCCTGTCTGCCCCAAGATCTCTTTTCACAAGATGAATGGATGCTTATGCAAACATAAGGCAAGGTAGTGCTGATGGTGCTCAGTAAATACTTGATTGGTTACAACTGTACTTCCACTAAACTGTAAGCTCCTTGATTAAGGAGCATGGATTCTTCTCTTATCCCTAGCACAGTACCTGGCACATAGCAGGCGGTCAGTAAACCTTTATTAAACTGAAATACATAGCATCATACTATGTTGTTAGAAATAATATTTAATATTTAAATAACTAATAAAATATTAAAATAAATAATATATAAAACAAATAAGTAATATATAAAATCTAATGTATATAATATCTTAAATAATAAATAATAAAAATATTAAATATTAAATAATATTTAAATAATATTTTAAAAAATACATGGCATAGTTTCTACACTTCGGTTGCTTACGTTGTAATTTGGGAGACCCAATAATTGTGCTTATGTTTTTAGGGTGTTTCATAGGTATCATTGTACATTCATATGTATTATATCATTGAAACCTGGATTGATAGATTGGCACCTCACTATTTGTTCCATGGAATTTATGAAAGATAAGTTTCATCTTAGATTCCTTTGAAGGTATTTTGTGGACTAAACAAAAGTCTTAGTGAGCAGGAATATTTTAAATATTACTCTCAAAGTAAATAAATAAATAAATAAGTAGCCCTCATCTGGAAGAGAAAAATAAACTATTTTCCGTAATGTGGAGAAAAGAACTTAATAGATACAGTTTAGCTCACATGAGAAAGTTGGGAAGAGATATAACCAAAGATAAAGTAAGGTACCTTGGGATGTGGTAGGCTTCCTGCCAATTAAACTATTCAGTGGGTGGTTAGACTAGAATCAATCTTTAAAACAAATTGTGAATACCACAAGATAACTTTATTATGGCTTTGCCTCTAAGGACTCAGATTATGGTGAACTCCTACGTAACTTCTATAGCATAGATTAAATGAACTTCTAACATTGTAATGCACATGTCCTCATGAACTTCATATCTGCAGAAAAGATAACTTTTTCACTTTTTTTTCTTAATATCTTCACAGGAAATTGAGAGTCAGATTGACAGAATCTGTGAAATGGGAGAAGTGATGAGGAAAGCAGTTCAGATGGATGATGACCAATTTTGTAAGATTCAGGAAAAACTGGCCCAATTAGAGGTAAGATTGTTGCTATTATAGGCTCGCAATACTTAGGACGTTTTCTCAGAGTCTGGAAGGTAGGCCATCACTATCCTAGGCAGTGTATTGATGTTTTCTTTGTGTTCATGATTTAAAATGAAAACTTCCTCCAGGGGTATCCAGGTGTCTCAGTTGCTTGAGTGTCTGACTCTTGAGTTCAGCTCAGGTCATGATCCCAGGGTTGTGAAATGATCCCCGTGTTGGGCTCACTCAACTTCTTTCTGCTTGAGATCATCTCCCTCTTCCTCTGCCCCTGCCGCTCCCCATTCTCTCTTTCTCTAAAAAATAACTAAAATAAATCTTAAAAGAAAACAACTCCTTCTCCATAACCTTTTCAGGAACATAAATGTAATCAGCAGCAAACAATGAAAATGCGAACTATGTCTTGGCTAGAAATTGAAATAATTGTCATATTAAGAGGGTAGAGACAGTGGAAGAAACAAATTACATGTGAGCTAAAATCCCTCCAGGAAACGCCTAGGTGGCTCAGTTAAGCGTCTGCCTCTGGTTCAGGTCATGATCCCAGGATCCTGGGAGCAGGTACTGCATTGGGCTCCTTGCTCAGCAGGGAACCTAGTGCTCCCCCTGCTTGTGCACGCTCACTCTCTCCCCTTCTCTGTCTGACAAATTAATCTTCAAAAAATTAAAATACAAAAAAAAATTTTTTTTAATTAAAAATAAATCCCTCCTGTCGTAAAAGGAAGTCGAAAATGATGATCAAAAAATAGCAATACAGGGGCGCCTGGGTGGCTCAGTGGGTTAAAGCCTCTGCCTTCGGCTCGGGTCATGGTCCCGGGGTCCTGGGATCGAGCCCCGCATCGGGCTCTCTGCTTGGCAGGGAGCCTGCTTCCTCCTCTCTCTCTGCCTGCCTCTCTGCCTACTTGTGATCTCTGTCTGTCAAATAAATAAAATATTTAAAAAAAAAAATAGCAATACAGCCATATTAATAATTATTAATCATTCCTCTATGAATCATAGAAGTATCAAAAGAAAGAGATAAAAATATTAAAAATGGTTACCTTTGGGGAACAAGGCCTGCCACTTATTTTATAAACCTTATGGTCTTGATTTTTTAAAAGTTATTTTCATGTAATTTTTTTCATTATAATAGCAGTATTTTACAAAAAAAAAAAAGGCATGGGGGTATTAGTATGCTTATAAAATTATTAAGAAAACACATTAAAATAGGTGGTTTGAATGTTGCTTAATTACCAGGTACTATCATGGACCCTTTGAGAAATACCAGAGGAAAAAAGATAGGATATCCCTGAGTCTCATGAAAGGAATAAGACTGATATGATAAGAAATGCTTCATACATGCTAGGAGAGATGCATAGTACTAAGGAAAGCACTTTATATGGTAGATGATTTAATGACCATGGGCCCAGACTCTTGGTGAAGTGTGAAGATGCTATGGTTTATCAGAATTTCCTACAGAGAATAAAGATGAAAAGTGCATGCTGCCCTACCTGGAAATCAAAGGCAGTGACAAAGGTCTCAAGTAGGAATTAGGAGTTAGTTAAAATGATAGGATGACCTTATCTGCACTATCCCTGATTTACTCAGATATAGAAACAGCCCTGAGGAAATATGGGACAAATTTTATTAAATATTTTAAGTGGAAAGGACACGGGCATCAGATTGAAACCCCAGGAATACCACATCCAAGTTGTCTGAGTTTGGACAAGTTTTTGGACTTTTGTGGGCCACAGTGTCCTCATCTTAAAGAGAACATGGATGTGAGCAATGGTACCTGCCCTACGGGGTTGTTCTGAGGTGTACATATGTACATATGTACATTAACATATGTAAGACACCCAGTGGTACCTGATATCCCCAGTGAGTAGTTTATTTCCCCTTTCTTTCCTTTCTCCAAAATATCCAGGAGAGAAGACTGAGCAGAGTCAAGATATTTTTAGGAATTTAAAAGGCACAGGGCATATAGAAATTACTCAGGAAATGTATGTTAAATGATGAATAATTAGTGTTTTAGGAAATTCTCAATTACTTTCTTTCCATAAAACGTTTAAAATTAAAACACTTTCTGTTCCTGGTCTAAAACAGTGTATTCTGGTGTAGTTTGACAGTCAAAATACTTGATATAAACAAACCTTTTTTTTTTTCCAGCTTGAAAATAAAGAACTTCGAGAATTATTGTCCATCAGCAGTGAGTCTCTTCAGGTCAGGAAGGAAAACTCAATGGACACTGCTTCCCAAGCCATCAAATAACTTCTGAATGACAGCTGGAGATTGTTTATCAAGGAAGGAAATTATCTTTCTATTTGAGTATTGTCCATTTAGTGTCTTGCCTCAGACTTGATTTAGTGTTGATTAAAGGTATCAGGTGGCAGCTTAGAATTTGCAGTCAAATTGGCTGTCCACAAAATGGTTTTTGGGTGTGTTCGTGAAATACACACTGAGTTTCACCATTCCTTTCTCTAAGAGACTTACTTTTACTTTTCGGTTCTGGGACCTCAATTTATTATCGGTTCCTTTTTGTTTCTTCACATCTCTCAGAGCCTTTTATTACAAGCCAGCAATCTTTATTTTGTATAAGATTATAAATTACAATTCTAAAAAATTTTTAAGAAATTAGCTTTTTAAATTACTTGGCACAAATCTAGATTTTTTTTCCCCCATTTGTGAAAAGTAATACAGTTCCACACAACGAGATTGACAGATTGTCTGATTTGTGATGTCACTCACCTCCTGTCAAGTTTTAAGTCTCTCTGGTGCTAAGAGTTGGCACTTTATGACCTGGTGTCTTTACTCTTAATTTGAGAGAACCTACTGCTAGTTCCCAAGAAGCATACTTGAAAATAGGTAACAGGAGAGTCATCATATTGTTCAAAGAACCTGAGAAGTTTGTCCTTTGTGTGACATACACATGTACTCTTAGTTCAGATGCTGAAGGAGCTGTTATTTATTCTGTTAGATATTAATAGTCAATTTTTCAATATTGTCCTCCTAGGTAATCTTCAACTTGGGTGGTTTACTCAGCTGAAGAGCATAAAATGGGTCTTTTCACATTGTAGTTTTTAGTTACTACATTCTATTTAATTTATATATAAATTTTGTTTCATAGTTAAGAACCATCACTTACATAGATGTCTTTCATTACTAGTACTGATAGTTGGCTTTCTTTTTAGATCCATTTATTATGAGGAAGCTAAATTTTATCACCCAATGAGAGTTACTACATTTGTGCTGTGAGGACAACAAAGCAGTGTTGAGATTCAAATGCTGAGCAGTCAACCAGACTTACTCATCAACTCACTCGCCTATCTCAGTTTAGTTACATGCCAAATTTACAAATTGCTTCATGTTACACTATCAACTCGGGTTTGCCCAAAAATAATTGAAATAATGAATCCCAAACCTGTCCATATTTTCCAGTAGCACTTAGCACCATACTGACAGGAGATACAGTATTTAAGAGTTTTTTGTTAGTACTTTGCGTGATGTAAAATTTCTTTTGTACTGCCATAAAGAATTAACTCCAGTTAAAACAATAAAACCTCACGAAGATATCCTAAAAGCATCTGACCCCACTAATACTGAAAGAACTTGGCCTATTGTGGTGGTCTTTAATGATTAGGTGATTCATTTTAGAAACTCAAATTTCTATTCAAAGTCCTGCATAGAATTTGAAAAATACTTCCACCCCAAATGTAGGCATTTTTATCTTATTTCCCAACAGGAAGTAAAACTTTAGTCCAGCCGTTCGGCTTGAAGTATATGCCCTAAGTGCCACTTTGTGTCCCATGGTTCCATTCAGGAAGCAGGTACCCCTACGTGATATATCAGCTGCCATGGCCAGTTTTCAGTAAAAATGATAAAGTCATCAAATGGCCCATTAAAGTATGAGACAGTGTCTCTTTATCTGCCTTATGTTCCTTTAAAGTTGTTTACATCTTGGATATCAGGATAAATCTATGTTAACTTTTCCCCCTGCCAAATCAAAAGCTTGAAGTTTGAGTGAAAGAGCTCTCAGTGCCCTACAAAATGTAAATTTTGGCTGGTGTTAATACAAATACAGCATTTCTAATAAAAACATTTTAAGAATAATAGTTAAATTTTACTCAGTAATGAGTCTAATTATTAGGAAATACAAAGGTTTCTTTTTTACATATATAGCAACCTGTTAAACAGGGCTTTCATAAGTATTTTGTAATTAGCATAATGTAGTCAGCAGTATAACTCTACAAATAGCTGTTTCTAAAATGGTTTTAGAGATTTCCTCATGATTAAAAATCCAAAATTATACAATTACAAATCATATAAAATTAAAACAGAGTTTGGAAGTACCTTGAAAAATGCTAAAGTAGTACCCATTTTTACCTTAATAATACCTTATTTTGGTGTGCCCCAAAATGGTTTGCTGACTACTGGAACAGAAATTTGGGAATGGGTTCCAGGAATTTGTGCTTTAATAATTGTCCCTGATAACTTCTAAGGACACTATTTTGAAAATCTAGTCTACTATGTACCAGACACTTCATTTGGAGTTATGAATGGAAAAAAGGTAGGGGAAAAACCTTGACACTTTCAGAAGAAAAATTTGGTAGAGAAGACCTATAATTACAGTGCAATGATACATCTAATACGAGGGTGTATAGGACACGGAGGAGAAAGCTCGGTGCTTTCTAGTTATCATATAATCTCCATTTCAACTGTACCTCGTTTTACACATACTCGGGCACAAGGAGGTTATGCTACATATCTAAACAAGATTCCAACCCAGAGAGACTCTAAAACATATTCTTAACCACTAAGTTAAGATGCCTTTAAATGCCAAATACTGGTGGGAATTCAAGTGGTTCTTGATTAGCAAAAACTACTTTTAGTAATAGTGCAAAGGAAACACCATGGCCCATATATTAGGAAATAGGAATTCAATAAATGGAGTCATAATGAGACATATTTGTCATCTCTTTTCTAGAATGATGTAGCTGAGAGCTTGTATGCGTGCAACTGACACGTTTCATCAGTGGTCTTACCTATGTATGGAAAAGTGCAGTTCCGTCTTTCAAATCTGCTTCCTTAGCATGTATGGCTTTTCATCTTTCATGTTCTTGTTGCAAGAAGGTTGGTGCTGTGCCAGGTGTCTTGGCCATATTGAAGGCAGAAAGAAAGAGGGAAACGGCCTATGTCAATGTGTGTATCCTCTTTTATGAAGAAAAGCAAAGCTTTCCCAGAAATTCCAAACAGATTTCCCTGTCTCACTTGCCTGCCTCTTTAAATGGTTACTTCTATCTGCAAAGACTGGGTACATAGTTGCCTCAAATAAAATCAGTATTCTAGGGGCGCCTGGGTGGCTCAGTGGGTTAAAGCCTCTGCCTTCGGCTCAGGTCATGATCCCAGGGTCCTGGGATCGAGCCCCACATCGGGCTCTGCTCCGCAGGGAGCCTGCTTCCTCCTCCCTCTCTCTCTGCCTGCCTCTCTGCCTACTTGTGATCTCTGTCTGTCAAATAAATAAATAAAATCTTAAAAAAAAATCAGTATTCTATTATCAAGGAGGAAAGAGTATTGAGAAAGCAATTAACGATGTCTGACAAGTCCTTTTACATTGAATAGTTTTAACAAGTGGAAACTAGCTGAAGGTGTTGGTGTTAGGTAGCCAAGAGAATGAGCTGTGGCAGACAACTGTCATTTCTTTTTTGGCTGCTCAATATCCTTATTCCTATCCTGTTTGGGGAATCCCTCACCTAATGAGGCAAAGCCTTCCTCCCTCCTAAGAAATGTGAAAGTGTCAGATAAAGGTTTTCCCAGTCTCTTTTGCAGCTAAGGAAGATGCATCTGTCTTAAACTCTAAAGTTAGGCAAAAAAGCAGGAAACTACAGAATTCTTTGAGTAAAGGCCTACAACACTGGCTACCATATGCAGTTCCCCAGAGGAGCTGCAAAAGTGGCTTAAATAACATTCAGTAACCAGTGTCAGCGAAGTCAGGGGTATAAGCTGCCGTGTCCCTGCCACACAGTGGGATCTTCACTGAAGCAATTATCTGAAGTGATTAGAGGCTCTGTAGCCTCTAATTCTAGTTTTTCTGGCTGTCTTAGTGATCCTGAAGATTGCTTATTAGCGTTTCAATAAAATCACTTTTTGTTAAAGTTAACCTGAATTGCCTATAATTAAGAATGCTAATTGATAAAATAAGCATAGTTTTAAAAACAACCATGCCAGGGGCACCTGGGTGGCTCAGTTAAGTGCCCAACTCTTGATCTCAGCTCCTGTCTTGATTTCAGGGTTATGAGTTAATCCCTGTGTTTGGTTCCACACTGGGTGTGGAGACTACTTAAAAACAAAAAAAACAACCATGCAAATATAAATTTTGCAACACTGTATACATAGTGTTGTACTTATATTTTAATGTTTGACACATAAAAGGATGTGTAACATGCAAATAGATTTTCAAACATAATCACTTGTTACCTAAGAATTAGAACATTACCCACAATTTGCATTTATCTATTTGAGCTCCTCTCCTGTCTCTCCCCACCCCACTACTCACTCTTTTTGATAGTTCTCTCACATGGGAAAAGACCTAAAATATGTATGTATCCCTAAAGTGCCATTTTTTAGTTTTGTTCCTTTTTGAGCTTTACAAAAATGGTATCATATTTTACATAGACTATGGAGATCTGTTTTTTTTTCACTCAACATTGTTTCTAAGATCCTTTTGTACATAGCTGTCATTTATTTGCACTGATGTACAATATTTCATTGTGTAACTATATAATAGATTGTGAAAATACATATATAATAGTACAATTATGCATTTTTAAATCCTAGTATCTGACTTCCTTATTTCTAATTCTCCATCTACCTCATTTAGATTAAATATATTTCACAATAAGCAGTCATATTGCACATTTTTCAGTTATTTCACTTGCAATTGTCTCAGCAACCTTCAGAGGGAATTAAGGACTATTATCTGCTAATATGATGGAAAGCCGATCATGTTTTTCTTTTGTTACAAAGAATCCTAAAGAGGAGGCAGAACCTTCAGAGCTTCTGAATGAACTACAATTCACTCAAAATTTGATCTAGCCTCCTAAAAATACACAAAAAATTGATAGAAGTGGTCTTCTGTATGTGATTGATCCTAAGATTCATTTTTATTTCCTGTTTTAACATCTCTAAAATTGGGATAGGTCTAATACATGTAGGGGTTTGTAGTGTAATTGATTCTAAGCATAAGCAAAATTAGCCATGTTCCTGATAGCCTGGACTGGCCAAAGGTAAGTTCTTGGTATTCTGATCAAGAAACCATTTTA